TTATTTCATATAAAAGTATCAGTTATATTGTAAAAGAATAGTATCAGTTATTTTATACAAAAACTGTAATAACTTTGGTATTGTACTTTTATTGAAAGGAACTCATCTAATATCCACGTAAAAACAAATCTGATGCTATTTAAATTTAGTTTAGGGATGCGTTCCGGAAGTCTTTATATTATTTCGTTTACTTTGATCCACCGAACCAGTAAACATATCAGCCGACATCTCTGACATGTGTAGTCTGTTGAAAATATAGATAATTTCTGTCGTTCGATTGTCCCGCTACTAGCAAATGAGTTTGCGTGTTTGTGCGATCCCCGAAATAACGTAAACCGGTATCATCCGGTATAAATAACATTAAATAAAGAGTGAGACACGTCGCTACGCCACCGACCGAATCGGTTTCGATATACTTTCTCAGTATCTTTCGAGTCACGCATGAAGCAACAAGTGCCATCCATCGTATTTTCTGTTATATACTTACATAATAATCTCGATCGAGGGGATTACTTGACACTATACGCGGCTTCAACTTGTCTCCTAGTTCTATGGTTTCTTCACCCTTTACCCGTGGAATCAAGTTGCTTGTTAATCATTGGTTCTCCAAGATGGTGTTGAGAAGCAATCGGATACGTTTGTTGGATATTCTTGGTACGCAGGTGAAGAAGAATATGAGAAATTTTCATTTTATAATAATGCTACACTGTTAAAAGTATACCACGGATTTTATGCATTTATAGCGAAATTGAGTATGTAAATATCATAAAAAATACGTATAGTGAACAAAAGTGCATCAAATGCAAGCAATTACCAACAACAAAATGCATATCATGAGTAAAGAATTGAAGGACATTGTCATTAATTATCATTTCTTGAATTGATATTTTATTAGTTTTATTTTGCATTAAAATCGTCAGTCTAGTCAAACAAATGATACTTATCTGCGAAGATCTGATTTCTTAAAAGTAACAGGAAAACAGTCGAATGTACAATGGCGATTATATAAATAATTGTTTTATAATTATGGT